GTAGGTGATCCCATCTAGTGGGATATGACTTAGTTGTTGTATAATTATGTTTATAACTAGTAATAACTTAATAATATTAAAAATATCAAAAGGAATTAATTATGTTTAAACTCTAGCCACGTGTGAATGTTTATCGTCGTTTTTATCTCTTCTTTCAGTTGTGCCTTTTCACATTTTCTACTCTATTTGCAATTGTTTTTTTTGCAGTTATTTCATCTTCTTTGTTTTGTTATGTTAAATTGTTTCTTTCTTCTTCCGTGTTTCCTTTATCCATGGTTGATTCAAGTTTATCTTTTGCTAACACAAACCAGTTTGATCTGAGAAAAAGAGAGAACAAATGTTCGTGTGACCTTGAGTCACCATTGATGACTTCATGGACTTACGAGAATTCTGAAAGAAGTTGATGAAGAATAAAATATGTAACTATTTTGAATGGTACGATGTGAGATGAGATATCCCTTAAAAAAGGATATTATATCATTGATAGACAAGAATGATGAAGTTATGCAGATTATGAGTGACACAAAGAAAAATGAAGAATGAATGAAGATGAAAAATAAATTTATGAATTATTTTCTAGGTTTTTATTAGGTGTTTGTATTGTTACTTGTATTTTAATTAGTTTTAACATGTGTTTTAAAGTAATTTAATATATTGTTGTAATATGAATGAGTTAATCAAATAAAAAGTTTTTGTGCAATTGTGGATTTTGGTATAACTTGTATGTTCTTGGCATAATCTATATTTGACAGAACCCAAACCTGTATTTGGCATAACCTTAAACCAAATTTGACAGAACCTGTTCGAAACAACAATTTGACCTATTTATCACGAACTGCTTGATATGGCATAACTAATTTGATATAATTTGACCTGTTTAAAAAAAGACATGTTTATTATGACCGAACCTGAACCATAATTTGTCATGACCAATTTGAAATCATAACAATATTTGTTTAACACAATTTAATAGGTTCATATACATAACTTGTTTAACATAATTGAGTAACATTATAAATCTGTCTAACAAAACATGTTTAACTGTTCATATAACACATCCTATTTAACTTGTTCATATTCAAAATTTGTTTAACACAACTTGTTTAAACATGTTTTTTTAACATAAACCAATATGCATTATAGACCAATTTTAACGGAACTTGATACATATTTTAATAGTTTTATGTACACATAAGCCAATTTAAACAGAACCTGAACCAAATTTGACAAGTTCATATACACAACCACTTTAGCACAAATTGAATAAAATCACAATTAAATTCATAATAACATAACCTATTTTACAAAACTCCATATTTTTTTACAAAACTTGTTTGACAAATCAAGCTATTACATAATATCATCATATTAAAAAATTCATACTTGAGTTATTACGTAGTAGCATCATATTAAAAAAAAATTTTTAACCCATATGAGAGGCATTATGGTTTCTAATCTTTGATTGATTGTGGTTTATGCTCTTCCTTCTATAAGTGCGTGTATCCAAGATCATTCTTTGACTTCTTTCCATTTTTTCGCTTTTTTATTGTCATCCTTAAAATTTTTCCTCTCAACGACCATCTTCCCTTTACAAGTTCTCTTGTTATGTCTCGTATTCTCACATTTTATTTTATAAGGCTTGATAATTCTTCTTGATATATATCATCATCCGAGAGATTTCTTGAGCGAGATCTTTACTAAATCCACCGAACAATGCATGACATTTGATGTTGTCCTATAAGATAAGCTTTGATATATTGATCTCCAAGCACCATATCTTGATCACCACTTCTGATGAAGACTCCACATCACAATATTGTCATCATCGAAACCTAATAGGCCATATGATTATTGTAGTCATTATACTTGCAAGAACATAGATCCACAAGAAATATCCTTATTCTCATTCTTGTCATCTGAGCAACAATAAAACCCTTAAAATACACAAAACAAGCTTTTTATTTGAGTTGAAACCATTGGAAAGTGAACAATTATGCTTATCCCTTACTCGATATAAAACCTATCTAGTTTAGGAATTTTAACAAACATGTTGCGGGTAGCATCAAAAGATCATTTCATCTTGGTTGTGTTGATATCTTGCTCTACAATGTGATCATATCAATGAAAATTTATTGGCTTTTTGTTATTTTCTTTTGATAGTTTTGTAGCTCATTAGTTATATATTAACTTTTGATTCATTTATAACTACTATAATAATGAATGACTCCAAGTGAATCCAGATAGAATTTCCCCACACAAAGAGAAGAGAGATATTTGTTGTACACATGTGTAAGTTAGAAGTTCCATATTGTTTAAAAATGTGGAAATTGAGCAATTTATAAGGGATGTGACCCATACACCTATTTCCATAAGGTTTTGGGTGAATATGTGGTGTCTCTTTCACTTGTGTATTACTCTTGATCCAATGTGAATGCTCTTCATGACCTAACAGTGATATCAGAGCCAATTGTTCAATTAAGGGACCAACTCCTTTTATCAAAAGTCTTTCTAACATGGTGGTGGTTAGACGGCGTATTTCGTTGAAGTGCTTACAACAGTGGTACAAGTATGTGACTGAAAGAGCTCCCGCTTGAGAGAAAGCATAATGGATAGACTCACACTTGAAGGGGGTATTGTTGTACCCAAGTGTGAGTTGGAAGTCCAATATTACTTTGAAAAGTGGAGGTTGAACACTTTATAAATGAGATGACCTATATACTCATTGTATTAAGATTTTTGAGTAAATATGTGATGTCTTTTTTACTTGTATATTACTTTTGATTCAATGTGAATATTCTCTATAACCCAACAATATTTGCAAAGGGCCACAATATTTACGCAGAGGAATAAGTGTTTTCATATAAAAAAAAATTATAACTATCGAAGTTAGAAGAAATGTTAAAATTGAATATGCTAATTATTAAAATCAAATAATTAGTTTTGATTCTTTTGATTATATTGAATATAAATGGATATTAAACCCCAAATCTTGGTGGGCGATGCATGATTCTCCTGTTGTCCCTCTTTCTCAAAAGTTTGCTTTGAATTTTCTTATATAACATAACTCTTCATTTTGTTGTGAAAGAAATTGTAGTAACCATTCATCCATCCGCTCTTTAAAAAAAAAAGCAAATTTGAGGCTTTTGGAAAGGAAATGTGAGAAATAAAGAGAAAGGAATACTAATATGTGATTCATCGGTGGAGATGCATAGAAAAGTTTTGATGATATTGAAACTCTTGAAATTGCCTCATTATCTCTTGATAAACCAATTACTCTATATTTAGGTGAAAAAGGAGATGCCATTTTTTTAAACTATAATTTCACTAATGTTTAATTTTAATCTTTATACGTATTATATCTTATATTTTTAATTCGTGATGATATTGAATACGTATTGTATCAATAGTCTTATCACGTCCGTGCATCATTGATATAACTATTGAACCACATACCAAAAGATAATTAATTACAAATCATAGCTATTGAACCACATACAATTGTGGTCCCCTTAAAAATTCATTAAACAGTATACCTATATATAGTTTGGTCACACTCCTAAATCAAGGACAAATAATACACCTTTTTGATGTACCACAAATTTTTTTAGACCAATAATAAAAAGTATAAAAGTAGTACGATATTTTAAGCATCACTATAAACATGTTAAATTTTATATCTAGTTTCTATTAAAAAATGATTTATTTTATTTCTTACGAAAATTTTATCTGTGCAATTTCTTATTAGTTTTTTAAAATTTTAAAAATTATTTAATTATTTTTTATTTTTTGAATAATTTTTTAATAAATATTTAAAATATTATAAAAAAAATTAATTTTTTTTAAAATAAGAAGAATTAAATATGATTTTTTTTTTAATTTTAAAAAATATTAATAAAAATAATAAAAATCTCGATTTAAAAATTAAATTTTAAATTTATTTTTTTTGATGAATTTTTTATAACGTATAATTATTTAAAAATTAATCATAGAGAAAATCTTAAAATTTTAGTTCACAGTGGGAATTAAACCCTGGAATATTAATACGACATCCAACCTTGTAACATGCTTAACCACTAGGTTAGTAAACTCTAATATATTTACCATCACATTATTGTTAATTTTAGACATAGAGCAAATCAACTTCTTGAATAAACACTTATTTAACCTTGTCATCAAATCCTAACACATGAATCATACTCTTGAGCTCAATCACAGATCCTCAAAATACTAACAACAATAACACATGTGATTTAAAAATAATTATAAAAAAAAAAATTTTAAATTTTTTTTTTAAATTTTTTTATAAAAAATATTAGAGTTCAGAATTGTGAAAGACGAAGGTTGTTGCGGTTTTAGATCAAAATTAAAAAAAAAATTCATCTTTAAAATTGAAAATACTTAAAAATTAAAATTTTTTTCAACAATGCGACACTTCTTCTGAAATAATTTTTTAACAATGCCACATTTTGAAATAAATTTCTCAAAATGTCATATATAGGATGATTCACGTCATCTGTCAGTTGAGTCTCACGTTCACGCCATTTAAAATAACGTGAACTCTTGTGTATGACATTCTGAAAAATTCGTTTCAGAATATGACATTGTTGAAAAATTGTTTTAGGAGTGTGGCATTGTTGCAAAAAATTCTAATTTTTAAGCGTTTTCAATTTTAAAGATGAATTTTTCTAAATTTAGAGATTCAATTTCTCTTAATTTGATAAAGAAGATGAAAGATGAAAGATGAAGTTTGAATTTCTATATATTTTATTTTGTAAAGTGAAATATAAACAAATCAGTCTAATGGTGAGACGTGTTGTCTATCAAGTAAGAGACTTGTGTTTGATTCCTGATGTGACAAAATTTTTAATACCCTTAATAATACATATAGAGAAAAAACATATTTAACCCGTCTAACAAAAAAAAAACCTTCATCACATATAGATAGTCTCATCAAATACAGTATATACAAATAACTTTTTCAATCGGTACCACTTCACCACATGATGGTCCTAAACAATCATCATGTAAGACTTGTTCTCTTTCTCATCTTCTTCTTCTTCTTCTTCAACCCCACATGTTTATCTTTCAATTTTAACACAAACCAAACTTCTTCACTGAGAAATCAGATTCTTGAGATTGCTAACAATCCCAGCACAGTGAAATGGATTAAGAACATCAGAAGAGAAATTCATGAATATCCTGAACTTGCATATGAAGAGTTCAAGACAAGTTCTTTAATAAGGCGTGAGCTTGATAATTTAGGTGTTGGTTATGAATGGCCAGTGGCTAAAACAGGTGTTGTTGCTAAAATAGGTTCTGGATTTCCTCCTTTTGTTGCTCTTAGAGCTGACATGGATGCTTTGCCTATTCAGGTAACTAAAACACCATTTGCTTGTGTTTCTATTAAGGGCATGTTTTGTTTTGTTATGTACATTACTACTTTATTTTCTTTGTTTTTAATTATAGATCATTCACAAGTGAGTTTGGTGAAATCATGGTTGTCAGTGACATTCAAAACATGCAAGGGCTTAATGGTCATTTGTATTTTTGCATGTATGTTTTTGTTTGACATGATGATACAGATGGTGCATGATTGTGAAAAAATTGAAAGGAAATTCAACAGAGTAGTTGATACTGTTGATTTAAACTCTAAGGATTAATTTCCAGTAATTGTTAATTAGATTGAAATATGTGTTCTTTGCATTTGTTAATTGCCAATAGGAACTTGTTGATTGGGATCACAAGAGCAAAATAGATGGAAAAATGCACGCCTGTGCTCATGATGCTCATACTGCGATGCTTCTTGGTGCTGCAAAGATACTGCAAGAAATGAAAGACAAGTTAAAGGTAAAGTTGAATTGTGAAAAAGTTAATTGAGATTTATAGGAAATCTTCCATTGGAAACTAATTAGTCCTTCACATGCAGGTAACTGTTGTTCTTATATTTCAACCAGCTGAGGAAAGAGGCTTAGGTGCGAAAGATATGATCCGAGAAAATGTGCTTGAAGATGTAGTGGCTGTTTTTGGATTACATTTAGTGACAAAGTATCCCCTAGGTGTTGTTGCGTCGCGGCCGGGAGAGTTTTTAGCCGGATGTGGAAGCTTCAAAGCAAAGATCAAAGGGGATTTAGCAGGAATTCCGCGACGTTGTTTTGATCCTGTTTTGGCCGCCTCAGCATCTGTGATTAGCTTGCAAAACATTGTTTCGAGAGAGGTGGATCCTTTAGATTCGCAGGTCTATTCGAGCACTCGATTTCAACTTAATAAAAACTTTCAAAACCAAACTTCCATACATAAATTCCTACAATTGATTCTGTTGGCAGGTGGTTTCCGTTGCAATGATTCGTGCAGTGTCTGGTCATGAACTCATTCCTGATTCTGTTACACTTGGAGGTACTTATAGAGCTTTTGGAAAGAAGAGCTTCGATGCTCTAAGGCAAAGGATAGAAGAGGTAATTGTCGTGTTTGGTTTTACCTATGTAGCAGAGACACTTCATATTTAAGTTATATGTAGAGTGTCTCTTACGTGTCAGTGCCCGACACATGTCGATGTGACAGTGTTTTCGTCTGTTTTAGGGCTTGTACGTCTTCATTTGTTTGACTTCATTGTGCAGGTTATCAAAGGGCAAGTAGAAGTGCATAGGTGCTCAGCAGAAGTTGAATTCTTTGGTAAAGAACATCCAACAATTCTTCCAACAACAAATGATGAGAGAATCTACCAACTAGGCAAGCAAGCCTCATGTATGATTGTTGGAGAAGAGAACATTAAACTAGCACAAATCTCAACAGGGAGTGAAGATTTTGCATTTTTCTTGGAAAAAGTGCCCGGCTCATTTTTCTTTTTAGGGTGTGGATCCATATATTCTGCACATAGTTCTCATTTTTTCATTGATGAAGATGTTCTTCCCATTGGTGCTGCAATACATGCTGCATTTGCTCTTTCATATCCTTCACATCCAACAATTTCTTATCTTTAGTGACACTTACTTATCTACCACGTATAAGTGAAAATTTAATAAATGAGATATCAAAGAAATTATTAGTGTCATGAAAGTTTAGCTTCCTTAGATTATAGATATTATAATATTTGCCTATTTACTGTTTATCTCTAATGTCATAGCTATTATGATTTTAATATTTTCTACTATTATTATTTTCCTTAAGGATATAATTAAGTTATAATCTCTCTGTTAAAACCAGCTCAGCTTATAGCGAGGAATAAATCATTAGAGCAGTTGTATATTTGCTCTAATATGGTATTAGCAACTCTATATTCAAAATCTAGGATTTAAAGGAAAAAGTCACGTGCCAACCATACTCCATGGCTGCAAACCAAACCCAATGGTGGTATGATCTTATCGGATCGTCTGATAAAGAGTTTCCTGCTATCTGCATTGGCCGCGATGGAGGCCAGGGAAACCAAAATGGCTGTCATCGTAATTGGCTGCGGCAGAGGCCGGGACAACGGTTGTGGGCAGTGGTTGAGGCTCTGATAACGGTGGAAACAGCTGCAATAATAGAACAAGTTCGGTGCTAGACACGTGGTGGCAACTGGCAGCGGTGGTGACAATGATTACTGGTTTTGATAGTTAAAGACATAATCCTTTATGTTTTGGATCTGTCATGACAGTATCAAATTATAATTAACTGTCATTAATAGCCTAGCATTATTAGTTTCTATATTAGTGGTGAGACATTATAGTTAGCATGATTTTTGGATCTTGGTCTCCAAGACTCACTTGTATATATATATATATATATGTTTCTGTACTCGATCCATTCTCTTTTTTTTTTCATGGCATCCGCTGCAAATTCAAACACCAAGAATGACCTTCCATCAACTGTTTCTGTCAAGTTGGACAGAGATAATTATCCCCTATGGCGATAGTTAGTGTTGTCTATAAATAGAAGTTGCAAACTAGATGGATACATGTTAGGGACAAAGTTGTGTTCTGCTGAGTTCATCACAAATACAGATGCTAATGCAGTAACAATCAAGCAATTGAATCCGGCCTGTGAAGACTGGCAGGAATGCGATCAACAACTTCTTGGTTGGTTGAAGAACTCTATGACTCAAGATCTTGCAACATAACTTCTACACTGTGAAAACTCGAAGGAACTTTGGGAAGAAGCCCAAAGCCTAGCCGGCGCACACACAAGGTCTCGAGTCATCTACTTAAAGTCAGAATTCTATAGTTTAAGGAAAGGAGAAATGAAAATGCAAGACTATCTCATCAAAATGAAAAACCTCTCTGACAAACTGAAACTTGCAGGTAATTCAATCTCTAACTCAGATCTTATTATTCAAACCTTAAATGGTCTGAACTCAGAGTATAATCCTGTAGTTGTAAAACTTTTTGATCAAACTACTCTAAGCTGGATTGATATGCAATCCCAATTGCTAAGTTTTGAAAGTAGAATTGAGCAGCTAAATAGTCTCAACAATTTAAGCATCCATTTCTCAGCAAATTTGGGTCACAAAACTGATCACCCCAATTGGAGAGGTAACAAGTTTGGCTCCAATGGCAATTGGAGAGGCTCCAACTTTAGAAGTTGGCGAGGTGGAAGAGGACGTGGCAGAAACTCAAAACCAACATGTCAGGTCTGCTCTAAAATTGGCCATACAGCGGTACAGTGCTTCTACAGGTTTGACAAAGCCTATCAATGATCAAACCAACCAGCAGATGGTGGCAAACATGGACCACACAATGCATTCTAGGCATCACAAAACTCTGTGCAAGATTATGACGGGTATTTTGACAGTGGTGCAAGTAACCATGTGACACATCATACTGACAAATTCAAGATCTGACTGAGCATCATGGTAAGAATTCCTTAGTTGTTAGAAATGGTGAGAAATTAAAAATTATGGCTAGAGGTTCCTCCAAACTTAAATCTCTCAATTTACATGATGTGTTATATATGCCTAGCATTACCAAAAATCTTTTGAGTGTGTCTAAACTAGCTGTTGACAATAACATTCTTGTTGAGTTTGATGCCAATTATTGTTTTGTGAAGGACAAGCTGACAGGGAAGGCAATACTAAGAGGGACACTTAAGGAGAGATTATATCAGCTCTCAGGGATTGAAAAAGATCAACATGCTTATATATCTCTCAAAGAGAGCTGGCATAGAAGACTTGGTCATCCTAACAATAAAGTCCTAGATAAAGTCTTAAAAAGCTGTAATGTAAAACTATCACCTAGTGATCACTTTAGTTTTTGTGAGTCTGTCAATATGGAAAATGCATTTGTTACCATTTAAATCTTCCTCTTCCCATGCTCAGGAAACCCTTGAGTTGGTTCACACTGATGTATGGGCCCTACACCAACAACATCACCATCTGGGTTCAAATATTATGTTCACTTTGTTGATAATTTTAGTAGACTTACATGGATTTATCCTTTGAAACAAAAATCTAATATTGCACAAGCTTTCATTCAGTTTAAAAACTTGGTAGAAAATCAATTCAACAAAAGGGTAAAAACAATTCAATGTGATGGTGGAGGTGAATACAAACCAGTACAAAAACTTGCTATAGAAACAGACATACAATTTAGAATGTCATGTCCCTATACCTCGCAACAAAATGGCAGAGTTGAGCGAAAACATAGGCACATTGCTGAATTTGGACTAGCATTACTTGCTCAAGCTCAAATGCCTTTGCATTATTGGTGGGAAGCCTTCTCTACTGCAGTATATCTTATAAACATGTTACCCTCAATAGACACTCAAAATGAGAGTCCCTACTCTCTCATATACCACAAGAAACCAGATTACACATTATTGAAGCCTTTTGGTTATGCCTATTATTCTTGTCTCAAACCACACAATCAACACAAGTTACAGTTTCACACAACCAGATGTGTATTTCTTGGCTATAGCAACTCACACAAAGACTACAGATGCATCAATTCCCATGGAAGAATCTTCACCTCAAGACATGTCATCTTTAATGAAGATCATTTTCCATTCCATGATGGATTTCTCAATTTAAAAACACTAACTAAAAATTTTGTTTCATTTCCTTTACATCCTGCAGGTATTGCTCAAAATATTGATTCTACACCAGTAATTGCAGAAGCAACTCAAGCTGACACCAACCTTGAAAATGCAGAAGAAACAACTCAAATTGAAGATGTTCAAGACAATCACATTGAGTCAGATCATGGAAACAATAGTTCATCAGTAAATAATTCAATTCATAAGGTCATGGATCACTTTGAAGCACCAAACATCACTCAACAAATCATCGCAGAAACAAGCCCTGGCACTGACTCAGACACACGTATGCATACCAGAAGCAAATCAGGCATTCACAAGCCAAAATTACCATACATTAGACTGAATGAGACATGTATTGATGACATGGAACCTACCAATGCCAAAGAAGCTCTCACAAGACCCCAATGGAAAGAAGCAATGCAAAATGAATTTCAAACTCTAATGTCCAACAATACTTGGACACTAGTGCCTAACCAAAACCAAGAAAACATCATTGATTGTAAATGGGTTTTCAAGATCAAGTACAAAGCAAATGGATCTATAGAAAGAAGGAAAACACGTCTAGTTGCCAAAGGTTTCCAACAAACACTGGGACTAGACTATGAAGAGACATTTAGTCCTGTGGTCAAAGCAAGCACTTTCAGGATCATCCTCTCAATTGCAGTTCATTCCAATTGGAAAATCAAACAATTAGAAATCAACAATGCCTTCCTCAATGGTTATCTTAAAGAAACAATATTCATGCACCAACCAACAAGATCTGTAGATTCAACTAAACCAAATCACATATGTAAATTGTCGAAGGCAGTCTATGGATTGAAGCAGGCACCACGAACTTGGTTTGATAGTCTCAAAAATGGACTGCTTAGCTGGGGATTTCAAAATACAAAAATTGATTCCTCTCTTTTCATACTCAAAGGTAAAGATCATATTATTTTTCTCCTCGTCTATGTTGATGACATCATAATTACAGGCAACAACACCATGTTTCTTGATTCATTTATCAAACAACTTAATGTTGTTTTTTCATTAAAAAAATATGGGTGAACTACACTACTTTATGGGAATAGAGGCCCATAGAGATGCAAGTGGCATGTACCTCAAGCAATCCAAATACATAGGTGACTTGTTAAAGAAATTCAACATGGAACATGCTTCATCTTGTCAAACCCCTATGGTAACATGGAAGCAATTCACAATTGAGGGGGACAAGTTACAAAATCCAACATTGTTTAGGCAAGCAATAGGAGGATTGCAATATTTGACACACACAAGACAAGACATATCATTCTCTGTCAACAAACTCAGCCAATACATGAGTTCACCTACCATTGATCACTGGTGTGATCGGTGGAAATAGAACTGACTGTTTTTGAAGCTGGTTCGCGAAATGTCGCGGTAAGCAAGAGTCGCCACCGTCTTTTATGTTCTCCAACAAGGAAAGGACAAAAGCACAGCAAAATTCCTTTTCGAGATGTTTCTCGGTTCGGGAGGTAAATTTATAGAAAGGGAAGGTGTTAGCACCCTTTCTGTCCGTGGTTATCCACGGGCTCTTAGGTACTTGCTCACTATGTTTTCAAAAATGTTTGCTTTTCAAGTGTTTGTGGGTTTTGAAAAAGTTTGTTTTGAAAAACTTCTAGGTAACTCTTGAATCAGTCCTCAAGAGTGTATGAAGTATTTGTTTGAAAACTTTGTGAAAATGTAGGTGCGAAAAGTTGTTTTTGTTTTTTGAAAGAGCAAGTACCCAGGAGAAATCTACCTACTCTAAGGAATTAAGCTGTGTAAATGTCCTTTAGACAGTACTATCCCACTATTGATAAGTAGGTAGCACCGTCGTTGGAGTTATTCGGGTCAATTCGATTAAGGGACATGTGTGGTCACCAAAGCAATAGTAGGACGCCTTAGCGGTAACCCTAATGTCCTAGATCCTTTTTATCCGAGGCAACCGTTTCGAGGCAACTGGATCTTTAGACAGGAGGGCGACCTCTAAAACACCCTATACTTGATGACCACCTTGAGGCAACCAAGTGAGGCGTACCCTAAGAGTGGCATGTGCATGTGTGTAGGATTCAGTTAAGATTATCTTGTACATGTTATTTGTGAGCTACAGATTGATTTTATTTTTCATACAAATCTTGTCATGCATAATTAACAGTTTAATAATTGTGCGGGAAATAAATTGCGGAAAATTGAATCTACGCTATTACAAGGCGCGGGTATATATATCGCCAAAAACATAACCCTTTGGAAAATAAATATGAGAAAGTAAAGAAAGCGATAAAAATCCTATTTAACTATTACATTTCCGGAACAGATACAAAAATATAATCAAAATAAGAATTAAAATTAAATATGCGCGCGAAAGAATTGAATCGGGACGTCCTTAGGGTTTTGACCCTTTTTGAGAAAAGAATTGAAATTAGTCCTTTTTTGCAATTAAATTAAATATTAAACCTAATTTACTAATTAATTAATTATTTACAAGAAAAAGTATTTTTGTGGTTTTTATGTTTTAATGAAAATAAAAATAAAAATAAAAGAAATTAAAAGTCAAGAAACCCTAATTCTAAATTTATTTTATTTGTAAAAAAAGAAGTCAAAGTTAACCTAATTAATAAAAAGGACTAAATTGATTAATTTACATTTATTTACAAAAAGTAATTGAAATTAATAAAAATATTTTTTAGGTTTTTCTGAATTTTATTGTGAAAAATAATTTATGAATTAGTTAAATAATAGTAATAATAATTATTAAAGAAAATAAAAGGAAAAAGAAAATGAAAAAAAGAATAGTAAACCAGGGGTGTTGGGCCAGCATTGGGGGTGTGCTTGGCAATCTGAGGCCCATTTGTTTCTCAAGCCTTTCTGACTTTGGGAATTGCCCAGGTACGTGTTGAGTGGGCGTATGGTGTGGATCATCTTATGACCACTGGATTTGTGGTTGTGGCCACTTGGCGTGCATCTGGGTGAGGCATATGGTGAGATGCTTTGTATAGCGCTGCATGAGATCACGTTAAACAAAATATGAAACAATTATTTGGGGGACCTGGGAATCGAACCCAGGTCCCAACGTTCAATGCCTGCTCGCCTTATCCACTGAGCCAATTGCTTCAATTGAAATAATAATAATAAGTGGTTAATATATTAGTAAATCAACACATATGCCTAAAAAATAAAAAAAAGCGCGCGATTGTTTTAAAAGGGCGAATGGGAGAACGACGTGTGGTCATCTTCTCCAAATCCCTGGTTCAGTTACCTGCGGATTTTTATCCGCAGGAAGTTCCGTAGGCTCTTTCCTAAAACCATCCCTAGGCTTCAAAAACTCCATCCAAGCCCATGGTTATGATCGTCCATGTCTCATGAGTTCATCCATACTCATGATTTGTTCCAATTGTACCTGGAAACAAAATACCTAAAACGCAAAAAGATGAACCCTAGAATCGGGCATCACGATTCAGGGCCTAAAAACGAAATTGGATATTACAGTTACGTTAGAAATCAAGCAAGGAGTATGAATATGCTAACGTTTTTGAGAAAAAATGCAAGAATAGAGAATTCAAGTTTCGTGTTCAGAGGCGAGTTTGTGATGACTTACAGCGCTTTGTAGGTGGTCTCAGGACGTGGTAAGGGTCGTGTTAGCTTCAGTGGCTAGCAAGGAAGAAGGTCACGTTCTTATTTTGGTCTGAAAATGCCTGCAACCCTGTTCTTGATCTCTCACTTTTCCAACAATTTTTGAGTTTTGCTTTGGCCGTTTTAGCAATGCTTAGGTCGTGAATGCTGTTGGTATTGCTTGCTTATGTATATGAGAACAAAATTAGGTCAAAAGCTGGGCCTTAATCTTGGTGTATTGAAGTTTGGAGATTTGGTTGACCACCATTGAAGAACTTTCCATATTTGGTTCCAATCTAGGATTTTATGCACAAAAAAGGCTTAGCGCGAATTGGTGAGTTGGCATATGACATATAAAAGCTATTCAAATCACAAAGATGCTATTCCATTAATTTTTAGATTTTATTTGAATTATTATGGATTTAAAATGAATTAAATCAATAAAAATTAAATAAAATGGAAAAATAAATGTTTGATCTTGAAATTAATCACGGGACACGTGTGTGGCATGACACTTTTGCAAATTCATGAAAATTTCCCAACTTCTCCAATGCATATCTTGCTCAATTTTGATCATATGAACATGTTCTTGGACATTTTGGAAAGGTCTTGAAGTCCTCTAACCAATTCCTTTTGTCCCATGTCATTTG